AAAAAGGTCTTTTAAATTGAATGGGATTTGTAATTAGCATCGAGCCTGTACCAGTTGGCAGTTCTGACAAGCTGAATTTGCTGGTATCAGTAAGCCTGAAGTGAATATTTCTGAAGGTCAGAAACAAACAAACCAAAGCGTAAATAAGCAAGCAGATTCATTTAAGCCATCAATTAGCACTGGAGTTGTAGATCTCAGTTGGACGTTTGTAGATGGATTTTCAAATCACAGATGCAGTGTAGAGGGATGAGGCTCAGGTTGGCCTGGAAGCTACGATTGAGCACACTGCTCTTTTCCCTTTGCTTGCAGAAGCAGCCTGCTGGGTCCACAAACACCAGAGAGCTGAAACACAGAGATGCGACAGACTTGCATCTCAGCCATTAAACAGGAACAAAAGGAAGGCACAGTGTGGTGTATGTCAGGAGGAAACATCTGATGCTGCCTGCACATGTAAAGTTTAGCCTAGTTTAGCAACAGTGTTTGGCCTGATTTTTTCACACACACAACACCCCGACGCAACCTCATGATCCTCAAGCGTCTCTTTTAAACTAGGACCCTTAAATGAAAACCTCTCAGTTCCTCACCTCCAGCTCTGTCTTTGTGACATACTCGATAAACCCTGTTCATCAAACCTGAAGAAACAAATGTAGCCACTAGTTCAGAACATCAATGTGCTTGGGAATGAGATTCTGAGTGCAATTTAACTAAAATCTGATAGCCTTCCTCTTACAGGAAAAACGGTTACTTCATCTGAGAACCAAGGCAGATTTTATCTTCACAATGTGTTTCTATTTTCTTCCAGGAAACAAGAAAACCAAACTGCTATGATCTCTTTCACTTGTATGTAAAACCTAAATTAAGAATTGTGATTGCTTTGGAATAACGATTCAGTCATGCGACTTGTAAAATTTGATATTTAATTTTAGCAAAGACATACAGTAGTCTAGCAATGCCTTGTCTAGCTCTTAAATTTGGTTCTGTCATTTGAACAAATGTTAACATGTTCCTGACCACAACTGTACTCAATACAGAGTGTGCAGGGCAATTTTACTCAGAGTTCAGTTTGTCGTATGCATAAGTGCAACAAAAAGCTTTTATTGTACACAAAATTAGAATTATTGGTAATGATAATAGTACATAATGAAAATTTGGTAACAATACCCAAGAAAAAGTTTAGAAAATGTGTTCTATGCCATTTAAGTGTATTATCGCATAGCCAGAAGAAATAAGTGCTCAGTCCTATTCTGCAGCAGACATCATCGCTATAACTGTATCCCTGGGATTAGACAGTGGAGCTCCAATATGATGGCCCTGCATTTTCTGGGAGCTTAAGTATGAGCTAAAGTCTCCCCCAAGTGCCTGCTCTTCTTGAACAGAAATGAGAGCGACAGGACAAAAGATGTATTTATAAATATCACATCGTTAGTGCCCAAATGCTTTTTTTCCCCCAACATTTTCTTGGCAGTCAGCCTCCAGTGCAACCTCATGCAATTCGTACATGTAACCCTGTATGCTTGAGATGACATCTTTCTGTCCTTTCTGCCTCTGAAGTTGAGGAAGTGCAGTGTTTAGTTTCTGTCTCCTCAATCACTTGTTTTCTTAAATTGTCATCCAATACCAACCACCTAATGGCAACCCGCCTGCTCCCCAGCTCCTCTGCAGCAACACCTGTTATATTATTCTTATTTCTTAACATGCTAATGTTTTGTCATTCAGGATAGTTGGATTATCTTGTCCTTAGCTGCTGCATTCACAATAACCTATTTTATTTTTTATTTCTTCTCCATTTTATTTTACTTCTCATGACACATCATTTCATGGTAAAACAACAGCCAGAAAATGAATTTACATTGTAAGACCATAAAGTAACAGAATTAAAAGCTCGATTAAAACAAACACCACAGTCCTCTAACGAAATGTCATGGACAGGCTCTGTTTGGTCTTTTAGACATGATCGTTAGTTTAAAATACTGCAAAAGAAAAACGAATTAAATTAAAGGGAGATTTGCTCCATATAGGCACCCAACATGTTGCAGTGTGGGTATGTTGTACACACAAATTGACAATTTATAGAGCCTTTTATTTTGATTAATTTCTCTAATTCCAAAGTTACAGTATTTGGAATGTGCCATCAGTGCAGCACAGATAAAAACAACAAAATGAACAAAACACATACAGTATTCTACAGAACTGAGTCATTGGTTCCTGATTAACTGTGGTTATAGGGAGTCCAGCCTTTGAAGGCCTTTCTTCATGACAATGATATCTTCCTGCTGATAGTAACTTCCCACTTCAGTGAGGGGCAGATGGTCAGGCCAAGACACTTGAAGGTGTCCACTCTCTCCACAGACTGGCCATTAATGACAAGTGGTGGCAGATCACCACTACCCCTATGAAAATCCACAACTCACTTTTTATTCTTAAAAAAGAACAAAAACACAACCTTTCCGTGTTGCCCAGGTGCGTAGCACAGTGGAGATTGCAGAGGCATTTTGAATTTATTTTTCAGGAGCAAAACAGCGAGATTTGAAGTTGCGTCGCATTCAGTTTCTCACGTCCAGAAGGCCCTTCTGCTTCTTCATCTACAGAGGTGCGCTGTCAGAGCGCTCAGCAGGCAGCTGAAGAGGATCAGAGTGATGACTGTGTGTGCTGGGGATGGAAAAGAAACACCATGAGGCAAGAGGAATTCTGAGACGCACATCTAACGAGAGCTTCAACACAAATAACCTTTGTAAGTTGACTGAGCAAAGCCAGTGCTTTTCACGATGGCCTTGGTGAACTCCTTTGTCTACTCATTTTTGTCCTGGCTAGGATTTTGCCAGTCTAATTGATCTGTAGATGAGCAAAACCTTTTTTCTGCCTCTTAAAGACATTGGATAGTAGGAGTCTCTACTAGGCAAAACACACCAGTA